AATGAGAGAACAAAATGCTAAAAGGGTAACAAAGACCCCAGAAAAATATACACTAAACAAATCAGAAGAGACCCGAAAATGGGAGGGAAAGAAAGGGGGAAAAAAAAAAAGAAGACTCAGGCTGGTGAATAGATCAGAGCCACACACTAGAATTTAGGCATATTTTGGTCTGTTAGAAGAAACTGCCTCCCAAAATTTTAAAGAAAGGAAAACTTATGTATGTGCAAAATAAGTGTAAATACAATGAAGGGATGGAATATGACTGTAAAGATGAAAATTATAAAAGATTTTATAAAGGAACTGATAAGAAGTTGGTTGAGAAAAGAAAGAAGAAAATTAAAAAAGAAAAAAAAAAGGAAGAGAATGTGATCAGACAGGAGACCAGAACAAAGCTATACACTAGAGATTTAGGGTATATTTTGGTCTGTTAGAAGAAACTGTATCCCAAAATTTTAAAGAGAGTAAAACTGATATATATACAAAAAATAAGGTTAACTACAATGAAGGGATAGACTATGACTCTAAAAATGAAAATTAAAAAAGATTTTTAAAAAAGGAATTGATAAGATGTTGGTTTAAAAAGAGAAAAAGAAAAATTCAAAAAAAAAGAAAAAATAAGGAAAATTAAAAAAATTAACTTTGAAAGACTAAAGAATCATGGGAAAAGAAGCTAAGAATTCTATGTGCTGTATTCCCCTAGTGCTGGAATTCTGCCGTTCTCATTGATCAGTAAACTTGGTCTTGGCTGGCTGTTCTTCTGGGCGAGGGGCCTGTTGCAGAGATTCTCAAATGTCTTTGTCAGAGGCAGAATTGCCCCGCCCTTGTCTGGGGCCAGGCTAAGTAGTCTGCTCGGTTTTGCTCTCGGTAGCTTTTGTTCCCTGAAAGCTTTCCGTACAGCTTTAGAGGACAAGGAAGAAAATGGAGGCCTCCCAATCTCTGCGCCAGAGGAGAACTCAGGGCCCCGCTCCTCAGTAAGCCCCCCGAGAAAAAGCAGTCAATCATTCCTGTCTCCCCGGTCTCTGGCCACAACTCTGTGCTCACCCGGCCTGTGACCAAGCATTTTTATCTCTGGCACGTGACCCCATTTGGAGTCTCCAAAGCCAGCAGATTCCTTTGGTGTATTCCCATGCCGCTCCTCCCAGAGGGAGGAAGAGAGTGTCCCCAGATCTGCTGCTTGTTGGGTCCCTGCTGGAAGAGTAGTGGCCCGACTGTGCCACGGATTATGGTTTATGGCAACCCCAAGCTGAGAGCCCACTCCTCGACTCTGTCTTTGCAGCCAGCTTCCCCACTCTGATACCTGGGATCTCTGCCACGCTCAGGCACCCCCGGTCTTTCTGTGACCCCGAGGGTCCTGAGACCACACTGTCCCACGAGGGTTCCACCCCCCGCTTAGCCACTGGAGCGATGTCCCTCAGCGGAGCTGACTTCTCAAAGTTCTGATTTTGTGCTCCGCTGCTCTATCACTTGCCAGTAGCGGCTGATGGAGGCTCCCTCCCCCCGCGGTCTATCTTCCCATATATTGCCTCAGATTCACTTCTCTGCATGTCCTACCTTCCAAAAAGTGGTCGCTTTTCTGTTCGGGTAGTTGCTGCTATTCTTTTCTTCGATCTCCTGTTGAGTTTGCAGGTGTTCAGAATGGTTTGATACCTATCTAGCTGAATTCCTGGGACCAGAGAAAATTTAGTTCTACTCTGCCACCTTGCTCCTCCTCTGCCTCTCGACTTTTTAGTTGCTTTAAGACGAAGTTTGAATAGAACCAATGCATCTATGGAAGAACACTAAAAATGTCTGCTGTTATGCAGTTGTAGAGAAATGCGTGTTATTTCACCCCACTTTTCTACTGAATAACTGGCTCTGTTAATACACTTTCTCAGAAATATTATGGAATAGGGCGCCTGGGTGGCTCAGTCGTTAACCGTCTGCCTTCGGCTCAGGTCATGATCCCAGGGTCCTGGGATTGAGCCCTGCATCAGGCTCCCTGCTCAGTGGGAAGCCTGCTTCTCCCTCTCCCACTCCCCTTGCTTGTGTTTCCTCTCTCGCTGTGTCTCTCTCTGTCAAATAAATAAAATCTTAAAAAAAAAAAATATTATGGACTAAACTGAGCCTTTTCATGATTAAACATGACCTTATATTCAAACAAGGCCTGACCATTAAATGTTTGAAACTAAACTAACAGAGAGTGAGGCTATAGCCATTTTAATATGAAAGATTCAGAGCTCTTTGAGAATTTGCAAAACTGCCCCAAATTCTGTGAGCACTGAGGCACTTATCCATTCACTTAACATATTCACTGAGCATCTACTATACAGAAGAGCCAGTAGTCACTGTTCTCGGGACTGGGAAACACAGTGACGGACAAGATAAAGTCAGTAACCTTACTGAACTTATTCAAATGAGGAACACAGAAACTAAACAAGAGAACAGGGAAGATACCTCTAAGAAAGTGACATTCTTTTTTTAATGATTTTATTTATTTGACAGAGAGAGATACAGCAAGAGAGGGAACACAAGCAGGGGGAGTGAGAGAGGGAGAAGCAGGCTTCCCACGGTGCAGGGAGTCCGATGCGGGGCTCGATCCCAGGACCCTGGGATCATGACCTGAGCTGAAGGCAGACGCTTAACGACTGAGCCACCCAGGCGCCCCAGGTGACATTTTTATCAGAGAACTAAATGATGGGGAAAGTGAGCCAAGAAAATATCTGGGGGAAAAACAATTGAAAGAAAGAACATCAGAAAAAGAAGAAACAGCAAAGGCCTTGCAGGGGAAAGGGGATTGGGATGTCTGAAGAATAGCAAGAAAGCCAATGTAAGAAAGTAGTAAGAGATGCAGATGGAGAGAAAGACACATGTATATCCTTGAAGGTCCTGATAAAGAGTTTGGATTTTATTTTGAGTGTGAGGGGAAAACACGGAGTTTTGGGAAAAGATTACTCTGGCAGCAACAGAAATGACAGTAGGGGAACACGAGTGGAAGTAGACAGACCAGTTAAGATGCTACTGAAGCAGTCTCAGCAGGAAGAAATAGTGATTTGAACTAGAATGTCGTGGTGGTGATGCTTTCTGGTAGTTGAGAATCATCAGCATATTTTTAAGTCCTGGGACTCAGGTAATCACCTGGACTGAACACAGAAGAACAAACTGGCTCAGGGCAGAGTCCTGGAGGATACTCCAATATTTAGTAGTTTAGAAGAGGGCAAGCTGGCAAGGGAAAGCATCTTCATTTTACCAGCACATAGGAAATATACTTTGTATTTAGGCTTACCTAGTTTCTTTTCCTAAGCACTAGAGGAAACCAGGTAGTTTAGAGTTTTTTTCTATGCAGTTTTAATTTTTGAGCACACAGAAAATAAAAATATGAGAAATATGATAGAAATAAAAGATTTCTATTTAAATGAGGCAGAATCTCTTAATAAATAAATATGCAATCAAACCTAGCTACATTCAAGTTCAAGCCAATAATTTCTAAAAATAAATCATTTCATCAAACTTGGGAATCCTTAACAAATAAAGACCTACAGGCCTAGAACCTGAAAATGCACATAAATTACAGAAGTTTTATTGTAACATGATCTGACCTATATTTGTTTGTTACCTGTTACCTGACAACGTGTTAAAACCTACAATCAGGAAGTATAAAAACAACCAGAAAATCCAACTGATTTACATGCAAGAGCTGAGAAAATGAAATGTCTATATTGTGGAAATTAAAATGTTGACTCATTTCTATTTTAACATCTAAAGCATAGCAATTAATTAACTTAGTGTCTAAATTAGAGAAATAGAGGTTTTTATACTTTAAAAGAAAAACAGTAATGTTTAGTATTTCTTCTGTTGGTTACTACCACAACCTAGGCTACCTCAATGACAGACATACAAACTCTCAAGAAATAGCAGGTACCCTCCAATTACGTACTGTTGTTCTCCATAGCACTTTATCAAACCAATTATTTTTAATAGTAGGAATATTAGGAATTCTACCTCCGTGGTGATGCGACAGGCTCCCTCCATTAGCAAGGATTTCTTCTCTAGCAGCTGCCTGTATTTGGAAACAACACAACAAATAGTTGCTACTTAGGTTTCACTTTGAAGTGAAAGAGTAAGACCAAGACCCAGCTCCCAAAGGAGGCACGTACTTCCTGGGTTAAATAACAAACTGGATGCCTAATTTTCCTTTCTCTTGGGTTAACTACATTTAAGAAAAATTAAAATATGCAGCCTAGCTTTATACATTTTTTCCTAGTGAATGGTCACAATGTCTATAATAGTCACTTCAAGATTCTAGAAAAGAAAAAGACAAAATGATCAATTCAGCAGCACTACATCGTTAATAATTTTGTGAAGACAGTCAAGTCCTACTCTGAAGTAAACATCTCACTATACCAACAAGTGTTAGTAACTCACATTTATTTTAACTGCTTATTTTATGTCTACAAAACTACACTAAGCAATTTACCTGTAGTAACTCATTTATTTTCTGCTATAGCCTTATGGAATAACTACAATTAACTGCATTTCACAAAGAAAATGAGGCTTAGATGGTTAAATTACTCACCAAATACCATAAAGTGGGCATCAGACTCAAAATTAGTTGCAAAGCTATCAGAGATCAAACAGAAAAGCTCTTATGGAGAACATTTCTTAGGTCAATGTCCTGGGACAAATTACTGTCAGACCTATGGACATTTAAGCGCAAAAAAACCTGCTTGTTTTCTCCTCCTAACATGTTCAGCCCTGATTAACCTCCTTATAGAGCACTAAGTTTAGAAAAATAAACACTTAAAGCAAAATAGAGAATGACTGAAGTGCAGAGTGAAAAAAGGGGAACAGAAGAATTATATTCAATTCATGAGTATATACCAGCCATGAGGTGAAATATCTACAGTGCCTAGAACCTCTCAGAATTACTCAGGTGTGTATAAACTATCAGGAGTTAGGCCAGGGTAGAAAAGGGCCCAGGCAGGACAGATGGACCATATCTCATTGCAAAGTAACTTGTATGAACCCTCATCATTTAGGATTTAGGGTTTTTCAAATGAATCAAAAAAATTCTAGCATTATATCTTCTAACAAATTATTTTAAATAAGATTATTTTACATTTAATAAATTATTACATTAATTAAACAAATAATTTTAAATAAAGCAGTAACTACTTGAAATTAGTAGCACTTTAAGAATGGCAGTTTGGATTGGGGAAAAAGGAATAATTTCACTCTTGTAGTATAGTACAGGGACGGGACCTTTGAGGAGCCAGAGGGCAATCAAAACACTGAAAGGCTAAGCTGACAGAAAAGTACTCAAACTTTTGAGGGTGATAAATATGTTCATTATTTTGATTGGGGTGATATTTTCACAGGTGTAAACATATGCAAAACTCACCAAACTGTACACTCCAAATACGTGCAGTTTCCTGTATTTCAATTATACTTCAAAAAAGTTGTCAAAAAAAAAAAAAAAAAGGAGGCATAGGAGGGAGCCAACCAAATCTTGTCTATGGTTTGTGTCTAAAAGTGTGCCACTGAAAATCACTGCACGGTACTACCTTTGGCAGGCATGCAATAACACTAAGACACTAGGTTTTAAACACTAGCACACGTGAGGTTTAACCAAACCTCAGTCTCCTCCCAGCTCCACCACAGTCTAGTCTGTCCTTCAACTCTAGGCATACTTGTAATGAAAATTGGAATCTTAAGGCCATTCAAGGAATGTTAACAGAAACTGGCAGCAAATGAACCTCAATGGCCTACGTATAGCTACAGCAAACAGAAAATTAGAAACCTAGAATGAGGATATTACAGCAACAAACAGCAAGAACAGCAGGGCTGCTGACCTCAACTGCAGCCACCACTGGCAAATGGGTGAATTGCCAAAGTGATACCAAGGATTCCCACAGTCCTTTGTTATTTAATTTAATCAGGTTTTATATACTGTAAATAACAACCAAAGAATCACAGGCTACAGAATATTAATTTCAGAATATTAATTCTAATATCTCTAGAGAATATTAATTTTAGACTCACAATTCACTATACAACTCAGTTTACCAAATATGCTTCTCATTTCTATCAACTACCAAGTAAGCCATTGAGTGATTAAAGAGAGTCAAACTAAAATGCATAAATTGATAGGAAAGTTTATTTAAAAAAGAATGTAAGAGTATATACTCATATATGCAAAATTACCTCTGTTTGTTCAAACACAGTCAGTGGGTCACTTATTCCCCTGTAGTTAAAGGCAAAGTAGAAATAGATGCATGCACCTGCATCATAAATCTGCGTCACCCTAAAAAACAAACAGACAATTTCCACAAGGCTTTAAGTTAAGTGAAATCAGATTTAACATCTAGAAATGTAAAGGTAAGATCATTTAACTTGCTTAAGCCATAATCTCATTCTCTACCCAGACTCTTAACTCCATGGAAGGAATGGAGATTGCCTGAAGGAAATACAGGAACTATTTGTACTATTTTTAACAACTTTTTTTGGTAAATCTGGATTATTAGCCAAAGAATTAAAAACAATGTAAATGTTTCTCCAAATGGCCTGAAATAAACAAAAACACCACCTCCTCAGAAGAGATTGGTTTTGTTTTGTTTTGTTACAAAGTATAGGGAAGTTAAAGAAGTCCCCAAACAGACTAGATGGGACTTGGTGATCCATTATAAGCCTCCTATACTTCCTCAAAGTCAAGAGAAATAGGCATGAGAACTTAAACCTTGGAAACAAGAAAAATGTTCAAATACCAAAAATGATCAGGCTGGGTAAAATATAGCATCTTCACTAACTTCATATTAATAATTATTTAGAACTTTGGAAACAAATTGGATGATCAGACCAAATGCAGTGACATGGCTTTAAAATACTGTCCCTGAAGGTTTTATACTCTGGGCCCCATATGTGCGCATGTTGTATGTGTGTTTAAAAAAAGATATCCAGCACATTAGATTATTAAATCATATATATGATATATATCTGGGCTTTCAAAATGCAATTAGGTGAAGCATTTAAAAGAGGGCTAAGATAATCATAGTCAGATCTGTGAGTGCAATTTACAGAGGTTCCTACAAAGAATTTAATTTAACAGAAGGAGCAAATACAGAGGAAATACTCTTTTTACTACAACAATACAAAGAGAATCTAATCTAAAATTTTAATGGCCTTTTAGGCCAAATGTTAGGTGCCTCAGAACAGAAGAAATGAACTGTTTAACAATGCTACTGTCAATTTGCCAGCTGTGTGTTTCTTCTAGTGTTAATTCACACTCATAAAAAAGATCCCTTGAATGTTTACATTTTAAGTACCAGATTTACAAAGTTTAAGAAAAATTGGAGAACCATTTTAACTATGAGGGCACTATCATTTAGGAATAACCAAATTTAAATAAATTGAAAGGATACCTGAATGAAATGAGTTTACAGCAATTAGTAAAATATATATCACTCATATTTGAATCAATATCAATAAATAGAAAATGCAACTAAATATTAATAGAGCATTGCTAGCTTCCAACAAATCCAGGATCTATACCACAGAGTTGTTTTCAATAGATAAGCAGGCTTCTAAAAGTTTCACTGATCAGTAACTCAAAGACAAAGCAAAAATAATAGTATAAATAATAAAAAAACATTTTTTGGAAAACCTCATTTTCGATCCACTTCAGAAACTGACTCATATCCACACCTTTTAATAGATTGAGTCTATCATTTAAGACAAACACCAATCTCTTCCAAAATCATCTGGACAAGTGATAGCATGCCTGCCAAAGTCATTATATTATTCTTTAATTTCTAAAAAGTTTTTGGAGTTTTTTTCTTATGTTAGACTCACTGGCCAGGAATTCCTTCCTATAAAACTTCAGAAAATTTTGGGTTAGAATTTCTATTCCAGTATACAAAGTACATTTTAATAGAGAGAAATGAAATAAATGAACTCAATAAATGCACCCTACAGCTAGTTATTTCCCTTGTGATCTTTGATTTCCTTGAGAGCTATAATTATTTCAAGGTAATTTTGGAATAACTTTTTAAAAAAACTCGTTTAAAAAGTGTATCTCACACACTCAACATTTACATTCAACATACAATAGCCTCCTTGGCCACAGTAATAAGCAGCTCAAATCAAACTAAACTAAAACCAAACTCTGGTTAAATGTTAGTTTTACCAAGTATGAGATATAAGAACTATATTTAAAACTCCTTAGCAAAGCCATTCAAATAACTAGACTGCACATTCTAAATTTTGGTTTTATAAAATGATCACAGAAGCTGAGCATATAGGCTTTTACCAGAAAAACATTCTTTAAAAACCAGCTACTTAATAAATGACATATGTCAAATTTAGTCTACCTATAATACATAATAAAGAACCTTAGTTCTTTTGAGTTCCAAGACTTGTGCTATTACGGTAGGTGTCTGAGGCAGAATATTTTACTTCACAATAACTTTCAGTAAGTAGTGGTTTGTCACAATGATATTCTCATAATGGAAGGGAAGAAGTCTAGAGAGATAAATAAGGAGGTGGGGAAGAAGGAGGAAGAGGGGATAAAATCTATTAAGTTGCTACTTGATAAAACAAAGGAATAAAAATTCTCAACTACAAAAAAATAGATTCCATTATTTAAAATGTTTCAAATTTTACTGGTAACAAATGACTTTTGGATTATTAGGCCTGATTTGCTTTCAGTATTATAGTAAGAGGCCTGATAGACCAGATTGTCAAAAGAATTAAGTATCAATTTGGGTTCATAATATAAATGAACACAAAATTTTTCTTAGACTTTAAGATAAAAGACTTACTTTAAAAGACATCTCCAAATTAAAAGAGAGAGAGAGAGAGAGAGA